TCCGTAGTAAGGAGACTTGCCCCATCTTGCAGGGGCATCTCAGTTGGATGGGGTGAGACTCCCTAAAACACAGTACTGTCCAATTTTTATCATCCAGCTAGCCTGTGGTCCTACATGACCACTGCATAATCCATCACTATAGACTACCTTAACCTACATACAAAACATTTCCTAACTATCTTAAGTATGTGCAAAAGACTGCCCTACATAACCATTTCTACACATGTAGGAACTGTTTCTATTTCTATTGATTGTCTTACCCTTGTACAATTGATTAATTTTGCAGCAGGAACTGTCTGGGAATCTCTGGGACAACCAGAGTCTCCACCCAGGATGTTAATCATCACATTTAAGCATATAAATTGGTCTTGGCACAGCAGGGACTGCCTGGGAAATCTCAAGAACTGTCTGAAATTCCCACTGGGATAGCTCCTGTAACAATCTGTCAAATACTTCTTGTGCAGATGGCCAGCAGTGCAGTCAATCACCCAGTTTCAACTTGGTCTGCTGTCTCAAACCAGCCCTTTATCTCATCTATGCAGATGACTAGCCCGGGAGTTCCTGGACCACTCTGGAAATTAGTAACTTAAGGGCATTGGGAGTACACACAAGCACAGCCCTGAGACCCACCTATATTGCAATTATAATTAAAGAATCAAACTTTATTTTTCTGCTTAAGTCTCACAGCCCTTGCCCATCTATCTGACCAAATGATGTCAATGTCTGACCTAGTGAACTGCCTTCACAGTTCAGATGGAAGTGGCTAAGGACTGACTCATCTCATGCTTAAGTAAATGCCTAAAGTTAGATGATATTTATGCCATGCATTATTCCAGCTTGGTTTTGTTCTCTGGATCACACCACTGATTTTGACTGAGTGTGCATATCAACATTTCTGATATGAAATCACCTAAGGCAGCACTGGTAGTGAGATTTGTGGTCTATTGTTTCTGGGAACAGTAAAAGCTGGGATATTGTCCATATATGCAGTGAAGTCTGGAGCTTTTCGCATTTCATTTTCAGGTCAAATGCTCATCTATTTCAAAAACCTGTTCATCATCCCTACCTTCAAGTTCACAGATCAATTGCAGCACATTTGTGGGCTGAACTATTTAAAGGACATGGCTTTGCTGCTTTACCAGTGATGAAGAGACTACGTTTACCTGGGCCATCAAGATTCACACACAGCAGAGCAGTCAACTGCTCATCCTACCTTCTGCTTCCCTCAGTTCACCTGATGTTGTCAGCAGTCTGTCAGGCAACATCTGGGAAAACAAACTCGCCTCATCTGTATTCCACACATCACACATACAGTACTGCTTTATCAGCTGCTCCTTCTGCGCTGGGGCAATGCAGATCACATGTGTTTAATGCCTATACTTCCTTGTTTGTCAACTGACATGAGTTTCCGCGTTGAAAAATGAAATGTAGAAGCTAAATGCTTGTGTTGCGCATCTTCAATAGTTAGCTCTGGAGTTTCTTCATGTAAGACTGGACTGAAAAAACCACAATATCCTGCAGCCTGGTATTTACAAGCCACAGCTGTAATAGGTCTTTTAGATCAATGTTTCACAGGCATGTTTTTTCTATTATTTAATGTTCAAAGAAGACAATTTTCAGTTTCCAGTTATTTTTTGGGATGCATTGCTGTAATAGGTACATCTGCTGCATTAGGACAAAAGCTGAATAGCACGGCTAATGTGATCATATGAAGTGAATCTACATTGCCAAGTAACTTTCCAATTTGTAGTCACAGTCATATGTGACCACATAAATTTGGAAGAGTTATGTGTGGGCCATACTGAGTAGAACAAGAATGAAGTCTGCAGCTACGGAATGGCTCAATTACTGGCACCATTATCAGCTGCCCACTCTTCAAGGATGCTTATTGCTGATTACTAACCACATGTAGCAAGTTTCATTAACGGGAGAGAGTTGCACTGGCAGTACAGTTCACAATCTGAACAGCTTCTAAGTTGAGGGAGAGCTTTTAAGCACTGTGTGGCAAGGCAATGAGGAGACAGACCAACTTATGTTGGGGGAAGTTACAAGCATCTTAGCAGAACTGGCTCTAACAATCATCAAACTAGCTGTTTAAAAAAAATACATCCACCACACTCCCCTCTCAACTGTGTCTGACCCTTTTCATGGAAATGCTGTTATCTTGGCTCAGCTCCACAGCTAAATCTCCTCCTCTTCTGCCCTATCCCCTACCATGTGCCTCAAGCAAAGACAGACCTCTCCCTGGCCATCCTTTCCTGTGCTCCATCCCTCTTCCAACCAGGCTGGTGTTCGTTTGGCAGCACCCACCTCTAGAGAGAATGAACATAGGCTCTCTGTGGTGCAGGATGAACATGAACAGCTGTGTCACCTTCCAAAAGGAAAAATAAGTCTCTAAACTTTAAAATGAACATCTGACATGCTTAATTTACAGCAGCAGACAAATTAGATATGTTGGTTTGTTGGCCATAGAAATTCTTGAGATAATCAGTGGTACCTGGTCTTCCCTTTCTTGCATTGAAGTGCTCAGTTCTCCTCTAAAACCTGAGAGAAAACAACACCTACTTCGGAGCCTTATTTTCTACACCTTCCTTTAGCACACTGGTTGCTCTAACTCTAAGCTAAACAGCATGTATTTTAAGAACTGCAGAACATGTTAAGAAACGTTGCCAAATATTTTAGTCTCCAAATTCTGCCTTTTGAAAAATTAATACTCTAGCGGAAAGTGTTGTCTGAATTTTAAATAGCTACTTGAAAACAAAAATGCAGCCACACTATTTATGGAGGATCTATATACTATCTATGGAGGATTTTTCCTTCCACTGTTTGAGCAGGAACAGAAACAGAAACAGGAGCAGGAAAGGAGCAGGAGCAGGACTTTTCCCAGGACTTAAGGGCTTAAGCTAACATGCCAGCTCCTGTTGCATTAGAAGAGGCTGGAAGCTCATACTTATTCAACGGGAAAAAAACAAAACATGAAATGAAATGTTCTCTGTAAGAGCTAAAATGCATTCCAAAACAATGCAACATTGGTGAATGAAAGCTAAGCAGAAAATTCTCATGCTATTGTTCAGTCTAAGCCCTTTTAAATGTCAGCAATTGTTATTGATTACAGGTTTAAAGAAGAACTCTGGAAGGTCATTAAAACTGAAACAGTATACACTGTAATGCTAGATATGACTTTACAGAAAGGTAGACTTTCTAGTAAATATTCCAGCATCAGCTGTATAATTTCCTTACACTGGACAGCATAATATAGCCCCCAAGAGTACAGGTGAAATACATGAACCCAAAACAATCATTAAATCCTCTCTAGAGGCTATGTAGGAAACAAATGAGATGAGCTCCTACAGCTGTCCGTAAACAGCTCCTCTGTCGTCTTTGCTAAAACTTGCAGAATGATCTGGAGATGAGCCAACATTATACCTGGCTTTTTAAAACTCCATTTATATTTACAACTCTTTGCAGTCCTTTGGCAGTGTCTGTCACATTCACCTCTGCTGAGTATTACTTTATTCTGTGTTTTTTGGCTACTGAAATCAGGGAAATTGCTCGATATGCCATATGATGAGCTCTGAGCAAGAGCGGCAGACCTGGAAAGATATATTTAAGCATCAGTACCTGCATCCAGTAAGAAAGTGGTCCCCAACCTAAAGCCTATGGATTACATGCAAGACAGGCGAGTGTTGCTTTAGGTAACCATCCATATAAAAAATAAAGTCGAATGAAGAGGGAGAGACAAAACAAGACTTTGCTCTGTAGCCTTTTATCTGCACAGTGTTTTGCCTATAAATCAGCACGTTGGGGATCACTGAAGTAAGCTCTCTTGGTTATTATTTACTTAACTAGATTGGACCATACCCAAATGACCAAGAGAAAACACTAAGAGGTCTGTCTTGCCCAGCTGAGAGGCTAATTAAGCACTGTAAAACCCTACAATTTGCAGAAAACCACATGTAATATACACACATACAAGATTTACAAGAATAAACCTCCTCCTTGCTATGAGGCTATAAAGAACAGAAGGGAGATCTCTAGCTAATTAGGTTAATATCAGCTTATGGCTTCATGTAGAAGGACCAATAAAACAATAAAAAGAGCCTGAAACAAAATATTTTTCTGAAGGATCATTTTTTCCCTTTTCTATCTCTTTCTACAACTTTTTTTTTACTCAAGATTCTACAACATGGTGTGCTTTAAATTTACCCCTTAATTAGCACAGCAATTTTCTAAATTTGGCTTTTTCCTTCTTTCAAGGTGCTGCTCAGAACAGTCTGATAAGTCATACAAATTATTGTCACCGACTCCAAATGCTAAGATCTGAGTACCTCATTCTACCTCCATAGATAAAAGACATGCAGCTCAAACTCAATGCTGTGCCACTATGAATCTAGATTAAACTTTCTAACTATTAAAATACAATTGCTTTATGCTTTGAGTACGTGATTTTTTTTTTCTCCCCTTTCCCCCTGAACTCTCCTTTCTTCATATTCATTCCATCTGAAAGGGCATCCAGATAAAAAAGGTAGCTATTTTAAAATGTAGTATTGATACCTCATCAAAGTGTGTGTACGTAACGGTGTTACACACCTGTGCTTAAGGAATGCAAGGAAGTTGAGTGTTTCCAGTAACAGACTTGGGATATTGAACAAGATACGTAAGATTCCACCATTGCTACTAGAAAGAAGTATCCTTAGCAAAACATAACGTGATCAGATGCCATTCAACCGTGGCAACCAGAATCCTCTTGATAGCAGGTAAAAGTCTAAGTTGCTAAACAACATACTTCATTAGTGGAGAAACTGCACTGATTTTAACCATTTAGTATCTTCTAGTTAAGTGTAACTGGGGTTACAATCATGTGGGTTAGAATTAGTTTTAGCCAGGGAAAATATTTTAGTCAGCAGTTCTCCAATGAAGTCACCAATCTAGAGAGATGAATAAAAAAGGGATATGAAACCAGAATTGTGTGAGTAACATCTGTGTTTGTTGGTCTTTACCTTGAGCTCATCTGCATCATAGAAGTCTATGCGCACGGCAGGGACCATCCATGTCTGGAACAGAGTCGCCAGGATCTGTTTGGCAATTGCATCTGCAATGAGGTGGAAGTGGAGTGGGTTTCGCCTGATATGAGAAGCGAGAGAAATGCATTAGTTCAGAGGTTTCTAATTCCTATTGTAAAAGGACAACATCAGCATTTACAAAACTTTATCTACGTCTAAGGTCTCAAGGTAAAGCATACAGTATGTTCAGTGGAGTCCTGCTCTGTGGCTAAAATGCTGAGGCACTTACAATTTGAATAAACATGCCAATATAGAAATACTGGATTAGTTTCTGGGTGGTTGTAAATAAACATAGTTCCTTTGACTTCAGTGGATCTCCTGATAACAGTTAAAGATCTGGTCCCTTCTACCAGCTCCTTAAAAGAAGGCCAAGTTAATCCCCCTTTGGCAACTTGAGCTGTGAAAGCGATTGCTTTCAGTTTCTAGGTCAACCTGGTAATTTATCTTTGTAGTAAGAACAGTTGTCTGTGGAGGAATGGAGGTGGAAGGGAAGGTTAAAAATAATCATCTGAATGTGGTGAAATTCCATGACCACTGAGTTTACATGCATCTTGGGGCATCAGTTGCCCTATGGGAACCCAAAATTAGATGTTTCAGGTGAGTGCCTTCTAGCTACTGCCATAGTGAATAGAACAGAGATTGTAAATCACCCTACATCCTTGTTCCTAAGAGGGATGGAAGGTTGAAGAAAAGCAGGAACAAATAAAATATTTTATTTCAAAACACCAGATTTGGGTTCATCTCTGTAGTTAGAAGTAGGACTTGGGCTAAGTGAAAAGCTTCAAAACAATATGAGTGAAGCCAGTAGCAGCAAGAGTGGCAAGGTTTGACAAAGTATATGGATTTTTCTACAGTAATGTGAACTTGGACATTACAAATACCATGTTCAAATCCTTTAACCTTGTTTCTCTCTTTGAGGGACAGTAAGCAACAAAGTCTGATCTTTACTCAACTTCTGTGGCAGAAGTATGAAAACATGCCAGTGGAAGTTAGTCACGATTTGTAGTCTTCCATGTTTATCCCTAGCTTAGCAACTTTCCCTGTCAGCAGAGAAAGACAGAGTTTGCAAAAGCCACTAAGAAGACAGATGGTTCATTTAGACTTTAGCATTGGCTCAACCTTTCTTTGATCCCTAGGGTAGAATAGTGGAGTCTCATTTCTGTGAAATTTATAAAGGTAAATGGGTGCACTTGTTAACTGATATTTTTAATCTAAAAAGAGGAGCATTTAGTTTCAGGTGCTGGTTAAAGTGGAAGATGACTGATGTTACTACATTCTGCTGTGTGAACAAGAAGTGAGGAAATCTATGTTAGTTCAGGCCAAAGTACTTCCATTACACTTTTAGGCTCAACCCAAAAGATGAAGGTTATTTCTTTCTCCATTTCCTACAATAATGAACAATATGTGCCTTTCTCTTTAATGCTGCTACTCTTGCTTTGACGAGTAACACTGTTTCTCACTGAAAAAGTCCGCAAGAAAATGTAAAAATACATATAATGGTTCATAGCATCATAACACACCTCTCAGCAGAAATGGAAGATTGTTGTGAGAAGCAATGTATGGCTGGATTTTGCAGTGTTAGAAGTACTGCACCTAAGATCCAATCCAATACCCAGGGATGTCAGTGAAGCTGTTGTATTGGCTTCAAGGGCACTGTGGATCAAATTAGGTCCTTACAGAAAAAGCAGAAAAGGGCTGGTTAGAAGCCTTATAGATGAAATAATCATGATGGTGGAATAAACCCACACCTGATCTGCATTTAACAATGTCCAAAACACTAAGTCACAACATGCTTTCCAAAAAGACAAAGGTCTTTCAATCTCCAGCTTGCCCTGCAGTGAGGAGGGGAGAGGGAAAGGCGTAGGCTGCCAGCTGCTGAGTGTCCCACTAGCAAGCTAAAGGGATCACAGCAATTATATCTGCTTCACCAGCCCAGCAGGAGAGAAGAAGAGGACATCCTGGTTCATGCAGATTCCGCAGTAACCAGGCACTTTGCCAAGAAAAAATCGGGAAATAGCAGTGATCAGGAAATACATTTCATTAGCAGAGAAAAGGCCCAGAGAAACAAAGTACACCACCAGTGGCTTTGGGTACAGGCAAAGCAGTATCGCGAGACAAATAGGTGTTGAATGTCAACATACACATTCCACATAGTTCCCTCTGCTTAGTAGGGGCTGAGTCTGGTATCTCATAGGACTATTTCCCAGCTGGTGTTCTTTAGTAATTTTTTTTCCTTTTTTTCATGGTCATTTATCTATGTATTGCAAAGTAGAGTAAGAAGAATAAAAAATCAGTTAAAACCAGGAAAGCTACATCTTCTTTCAAACCATCATTTAGTTAAATGGAATTGATATAAAATATTTGAAGATGAAACACACTAGTTGAAAAGAAAAAAATCTGATACAAAGACACTCAGATGTTCAGTAGCAGTTTATACTCATCTGAATGACCCAGAGTGTATGAAACTTAAATGGGAACAAGTGGGTGACATTTTCTTTAGTTCAGCTCCTACTGGGAAAAAGAAAAAAGGAGTAGTCATACTCCTACACAGAAATCTCTTTCAAGTTGTTAGCCTCATGGTAAAGATTCAGCTGGAAGGAAAGTATGTGTCAGAGGCAAAGCAGAAGATTATCACTTACAAAAATATATTCCCAAAACAGAATAGTGACCCGCTGAGATCTACAACTAAATGTGCATCAGCCACAGAAAATATTACTCAAGACGAGATTTTAATTATGTGAAATGTGAGGTTTAGCATGGTGCTAGAAGCCAACAGAGCACAGACTCAAACCTGGAAGACCTTCTGAAGGTAGCAGTACTAGCATACGCACAGATGACGTCTTTTACCTCTTCTGGTATCTGCAATATGCAAAGCCTAAAAGACACGGATTGCTTCGAAGTGTTTATGAAACAAGTTCAGAAGCTTAAATATCAACCAACATCCACTGTAAAAGATACAGAAGAGCTTCTGTAAGATGAGAAATCTTTCTGAAGAGATATGAGAAAGGGATGTCATCATTATTTGCCAACATGATTGAATCACTGGCTGTAAGAATTAGGGGTCACAATCAGGATATTGTGAAGGATTACAGTGAAAGCTACATTTCATTAGACTCAGATGTTTTGCTGTACTATTTGGTGTCAGTGAAAGCTATTTCATTCTTTAGACTGATCTTCCAGGACAAAGACGTTTTGGGGTACGAGGTTTATAAAACTGAAATCAAACTGTAGTGCTCCTACGATAAGTTAAGGGATAGCCATGTAGAGAATATCCTTCACTTGCATTCAGCAGCTACAGTTTACAAAGTTTGGGGAAGGCAAGGGGAGATACCCAAGTCTTCACTTGGGTAACAAGGAAGGACGGCATAGTCTTTGAAGAAGTTTAACTAGCAGCTGAAGACACTGAAGTTTACTAGTGGAAGTTGAGTGGCATGAAACTGGAAAAATATGATGCTCTGGTTAAAGAAAAACCCAACTTATTTCCGTTGTGAAGGTAGATCAAGTTATGAAAAGGATTTCAAAGCTGTGGTTTCTTACAATAGCAGGGTAGGTAATGAGATGACCCAACAGGTTCTTTCCAATTCCCTGAGCCTCAGGACTTCAGTGCAAAGTATCTTTCTTGGGTTGAAGGGAACCTGGAATCAAGTCTCAGAGAAAGTGATGACCAGCACAAACCTCCTCTCACTCTAAATGCGAAGTGGACTTCCTTTGACTTCAACTTCTCTAAACAACTCAAAGCACAGCTATGTGTTGTGTTTATTTTTAACATATATGTTATGCCATATAACTCATTTTCCTCTGGACACGTCAAGAGAGTGAAAAAACCACACACGGTAGAAGCTGGTTATACCTCGTACTGCCAGAAAGCACTAGAAAGTATATGCAACTCTGGAATAATATAGGTCAATGTATGACAATTTTTATAAACTTCCCTTACAAAATTAATACATTTTGGAAAATTCTGGGTATTCATGTGAATTCATATGTTTGGAAGTAAATGTTTCTAGTGACCTGGGTTTCAGAACAGAAAGCCCTTGAACTCTGACCCCCAGGTCTTCCAGATTCCTCACTACAGAAGCAGGTATTGAAATTGCCAGAGAATTTCACCCAAGGTCCAGAAATACTCAATCTCATTTACCTCAAAGATTTCGAACATCTGAATTTTTACCAACTACAACTTTTCACAGTTTCTGCTACATGGAAAATGCTGACGTGCTAATGTCTTAAGGTGGAAGAACGACATTTCAAAATATGAGTATTTCCCATCAAGTGGAAACTCAAGGTTTTAACCACTCTATTTAGAAAACCGCAAATCTTTGTATATTAAATTATTTCCACTTATCTTAAGATCAGAACACTATCTGACAAAGTAAACCATACGTAAAGAGCACATATTTATTTTCCTAAATTGCTTTCCTCAAAAGTGAATGGAAAGAGATTCTGGCGAAGATTTTCAAGCATGGATGCTTAAATATATACTCTTAGGCCCAAATATAGGAGCTTAAATGAATGCTCTCATTTTCAGAATTGCTGAGGTCCTATAAAGTTAGTAAAATGAAAAGAAGTCAGTAATTTTAAAAGTCGGGCTATGAATTTAGGAGCCTATTCCGAGGTATCCGTTCCTATATTATTTGTTTTTTATCATGATGCCTTATTTTCACATTTCAAACCTCCTTATTCTTCATCAGAGTTTTGATCTGCTTGCTCAAGCATTTGTGGCCCATTCTTTTCGAATAGCCACTGCCACAGAGTTAAATACAAAAATCTACAATTGAAAAAGGGAGTAGTGAACCAAGACTCACTCTTCCCTTCTGTATTATTCCATAGCTCAATTGTTAGCAATTCAAAAAGCAGCTGCTTGGTTGCACAGTTCTCTCTCTGCAACAGAGGAATTTTATTTTCTAAGAATATGAAAAGGTCAGTAGCCCAGGGGGTTTATTTCCAAAACCTATACTTTATTAAGGGAAGCACAACAAGGTAATACCTTTTATATCTGTAACAAATGGTTACAAGAACTTCAAACAGAAATTGTAACAGGCAGCTTGGGAATTTATTTTTTTT